GCGCGACGACGGAACGACGCGTTCATCAAGGTGGACGTGAAGGCCGCTTTTCAGAGACTGGAGCGGGGGCCGGCCATAGAGGCCATGGCGGAGCATGTGCCGGAGGTCGCCCGCGTGCTGGACACGTGGTACAGGGGCCCTGCGACCCACCTCTGGCGCGACGCGGCCGGCAACTTCGAGCCGGTGGAAAGCGCCCGGGGCTTCGACCAAGGCGACCCGCTGGCCCCGGCCGCCTGCGCCGTCGGCCAACGCAAGGCCCTGCAACCCTTCCTGGAGCACCTCAGCGTCCTCGACCCAGAGACGAGGATGTACTCCTACCTGGGCGATACTTACCTCGTGGTCCCGGTGGCGCTGGCCGCGCAGGCGCTCCTCCTCCTGGAACAAGCGCTGGCTCCCTACGGCCTGGAGATCAACTCAACCAAGACCTTGGTGTGGGTCCCGGCCGGCGCGGGGGGGCTCCCGGACGGGCTGCGCCCTCACTCCGTGGCAGCGCTGCCAGTCCTGGGCTCGCACTTGAGGGCGCGCGGCGACCAGGGGGGCGCCCCCTTCCTCCTCGGCCAGCAGGAAGGCGGCCTCGGCGCAGTCACGGACCGGCTCGGCGCCCTCTGGCAGGCTCTCCGGCCGCTCACGAGGCACGGCCTGCGGAGGCAGGCAGCTGGTAGCTTGCTCGGCACCTGCGCCGGGGCCGCTAGCCAGCACGCCTTACGGGCAACCCTGGCGACCGACCCAGAGACGCAACGCTGCGACGACGCGCTGGCCAGCTGCTGGGAATACTTGGCAGGCAGGGACCTCGACCCGCTGAACCGGGAGGTCATCGGCATCTCGCGTAAGGAGGGCGGGGCCGGAGTGCAGTGGGCGTCCGACCGCCGGGCAGCCGCCTTCTGGGCCGGCTGGGCTTTCGCCCTGGAACGGGTCGCCAGCGACGCAGGGGCGACCGCGAGCGAGCTGCTCGAGGCAGTGCCTGACCTGGAGCAGACGCTTGCCAGGGTGCGGGCTGAGCTGCGGCGGCGCGGAGCTGAACCGGCCCCCGGGGCGTCTCTCCTCGAGGCTCTCCAAGAATCAGGTCAAGCAGAGCAAACTCGTGAAACTTGTGCAAAAGAACACCCGCGCGGCCTTGGGGCAGCGCTTGCCGGTTCACGAGAGAGCTCTGCTGCTGGGCGCTGGAGGCCCAGTCGCGGCTGCCTTCCTGCTGTGCCCGAGCGACCTGGCGTGCACCATGGAGGACGAGCTCTGGTCGTCGGCGCTCCGAGCGCGGGCGCTGGTGCGAAGGCCCGAGCGCTCGCGGGCAGAACTGGCCGTGGCCGCCGACGCGTGCCAGAACAGGGGCCGCGGGGCCGGCGCGGCGGCGGCCCCCTGCTCGGCTCCACTGGGCGGCCGGGGCACGCGCGCCGCCATCTGTGCCCACGGGGGCGGAGTGGTGGTGCGCCACGGGGGGCTCGAGGATTCCGTGGCCGGCCTCATCGAGCGGTGGCTCTGCCACGACCCCTTGCAGGAGCAAAGAGTTCCCACGTGGGACCGCCAGCGGGAGCGGCGGCAAACCGATCCGCCAGACGCCGACCTTCAGGAACGCGCCATCCTGGACATAGAATACTTTGAGGGCGCGGGGCGGCATTGGCTTGACGTGACCGTGCGTCACCAGGCGGCAGAGCACGTCGTGGCCGGGGCCGCCCGCAGGCCAGGCGAGGCCGCTCGCGCAGCCGAGCGCGAGAAGCACGCGCGCTACCCAGGCGACCGCCTCACGCCCTTCGCGGCGGAGGCGCCGGGCCGCCTGGGGGGCGAGGCCCGCCAGTGGCTGGTGCGCCAGGCGAAGGCGCTGCCGGCAGACCAGCAGGCCGCGGAACTCATCCGCGCCTACAAGGTGGTCAGCTGCGTCGTCCAGACGCAGCTGGCCCTGCAGCGCCAGAGAGCCGCCGGCCTTCGCTGAGCGCTGAGCCTCCGTTGTTTCTACTCTACTTTACGTCTTCTTCCCTTCCCGCTCCTGCGCCCGCTCGTCTTCCTCCCTCCTCTCCGCTCTCCCTTCTCCGGGGCCCCGCCTGACTGCAGTGCCGCCGCGCCTTTTTTTGTTCCCCCCTCCCCCTCCCTTCCCCTCTTCCCCCCCGCTCCTTGCCTCCGGCGGGCGTGCGAGCGCCTAAGGGGGGGGTCTGGTGGCTCACGCCTCCCCGCCGCGCGTCCGTCTCCTCCGTCTTCCGGTTCCCTCCTGCCCCCTCCCTCCCCCCTTCCCCTGGGCAGTTTTTTTTTTCGGGGTGTGTCCTGTCGCCGGCGCCCAGGCGGGCTGTCGCCCCCCGCCCGGGCGCCGAGGAAAAAAACTTGATGGACACACACCCGCGGAGTGAGAGTTTTGAGAGCATTGTGGTTCATCTTCTCGGCCTGGCGCGCATGGACTATCCTCACACGCCTGACGCCAGTGGACACCCGTCCTAAAGGTGGACGGGTGCCGGGGTCGCGGCAGCACGAGGAGGAGGAGGGGGAGGAGGAGGAAGAGGAGGAGGAGGAAGAGGAGGAGGAGGAGGAGAAGGAGGAGGAGGAGGAGGAGGAGGAGGAGGAGGAGGAGGAGGAGGACGAGGAGGGGGAGGAGGAGGAGGAGGAGGAGGAGGAGGAGGAGGATGAGGAAAAGGAGGAGGAAGAGTAGGAAGAAGAGGAATACTTATATTATGAATAATAAGAAGAATATGACTAATATCAGTATATATATACGCACATGCATTCAGATGAAGAATAGAATACTAATAATAAAAATACTAAGGATATGAATCATCATACTCATAATTCTTAGTAGTGCCAGTAACAAGAATAATGTGACGACGAACCCGAATAATACCAATACTGATAATCATAATGATACTACTACTACTACCACTACTACTACTACTACTACTACTAATAATAATAATACTAATAATGACATCAATCATACTAACATTAAGAAACACAATAATAATAGTAACGTTAATGATAATTTGAATGATAATAAGAACATTTAAACTAATACTAATAGTAACCATATTAATAACAATAATAATACGACTAATAATAATATGAATACGAATGCGAATCCTAGGACGAATGCTAAGAATAATGATAATACGCATAATAATACGGCAACTAATAATACCAATACTAATAATAAGAGTGAAACTAATAATGATAATATTAACAATATTAATACGGAATCATGACAATAACGATAATAATATTCATGGTAATCAAATTGAGAAGGTAAGTATTGATGATAATAAGAATACGAATCATAATAATGATAATAATACTAATAATAACAATATTAATAATAATAATAATAATAATAATACTAATAATACGAATAATAATAATTATAATTATAATACTAATGAAAATATTAATAATAATAATAATCATAAGAAGAAGAATAAGAAACATAAGAAACATAAGAGGATGAGGAGGACGATGAGGAGGAGGAGGAGGAGGAGGAGGAGGAGGACGAGGAGGAGGGTGAGGTGGAGGAGGGGAAGGAGGGCAAACAGGAAGGCCACATGCCTCTTGGATGCTTCTTGGAGTCTTCTTCTGATGTCACGAGAGCTTCTTGTAGGTTTGGTGGGGCGTCTTTCGGGCTTCTTGGCGGCTCTGGAGGCCTCTTGAATCGCCTTGTACACGTCCAGACCCAGGCGGAGGGGGCAAGGAGAGGGGTCAAGACACCCTCCCAGCCCGCAGTCCGTCTCGCTCACTCCCACCCGCCCTCCCAACACATCAGCAGCACCCAAGTCGCAGCATGTTCAGCGGTCGTCTTTGGATGGACAGCTAATGGGAACCGAAACAGATCTCATGTGCGCAACGCTGGGGCGAGGTGCGCCACGCGTGCCAGGCACCCCCACGCGCGCCAGGTGTGCCCGGCACCCCTGTGGCCCAAGCGTGCCAGCCACGCCTGGTGCGCCATGTGTACCACGTGATCCACGTGCGGCATATGTGCCGCATGCTCCAGCCGCGCCATGTGCGCCACGTTCGGAGCACGCGCAGAGTGTGCCAGATGCGCCTGCGCACGTGGCAGTACACATTGGGAAGCGTGTCGGCCCCCACCACCCTTGTCGAAAACGAGTGCACAATCGCGGCGGGACTGGCCATCACAGTGTCTGGTGCGGCCTGCACACAGCAGGCAATATGCCAGCACCACCGTCGTCCCAATCAAAAACCGATGCACAGTGATCGCGGAGTGCCCGTGCATGATCCAGTTTTTGCCTCGAAATGCATGTCGTATTGTTTTTGACAGGGATGCTGGCCCTGCGCGCAGCAGGCAGTATGCGGGCACCCCTGTCGTCCTTGCCAAAAAACAATTACAAAGTGCTCGCGGCCCCCCCGATTATGATCCAAGATTTTGCCCCGAAGTGGACTTCACATGATTTTTTGACAGGGATGGTGGGGGGGTGTCCGCATTGGTCCTGGTTGGCTGCCAGTTGCCTGGGGGATGGTGTTCAAGAATTGGGAACAGTGATAATCCCCTCCCCGGAGGGGAAGAGGGAAGAGATGGAAGATGAAACTCCCTAAACCACTCACGCCCAAAGGGCTGATGGGGTTTCTGAAGAGGCGGATGTGAGTCCTCAGAGCGGGGTCAAAGAAGATCGATGCCTGGCGAGTTGGGGATATCTCCAGCCACTCGAGGGCTTGGGCCCCACCCTGCTCCTCCTCCCCCACCATCTTTCTCGTACTCTCCATCCTGCGTCGTCGTCGTCGTCGTCGTCGTCGTCGTCGTCGTCGTCGTCGTCCTCGTCGTCGTCGTCGTCGTCGTCGTCGTGGACGTCGTCGTCGTCGTCGTTGTTGTCGTTGTCGTGGTCGTCGTCGTGGTCGTCGTCGTGGTCGTCGTCGTCATCGTCGTCGTCGTCGTTTTCGTCATCGTCATCGTCTTCTGCGTCGGCGTCGGCGTTGGCGTCTGCGCCGGTGGCGTCGGTGAGTCCTTGGCTTCTGCGACGGCGGTGGCGTCGACCGCCCTGGCGCCGCCGGCGTCGGCCTTGTTGGCACTGGTGCCCGCTGAGGAGGCCGGAGCACCATCGACATTTGCCACCACCTGGCGAGACAGGGCCGCGGGCGCCCCCAAGCAAGAGCAGCGAGGGGCTTCAGAGGAGGAGGTGCCAGTGCTGCTGCTCATGATGGAGAGCTCCCGCCGCCACGGCTGGATTCTCCTCGAGATTCTGGTCAGAATGCCCCCCTGGGAGAGGTTTGGGGAGTAGCGGTATCCATATTCTTCAGGTGCGAAGAAGCGGCAATTACAGGTGCTCGGCTGAGGACCCTCCCCATGGCCGACCTCGACCATCTAGCGGTGATGACCTGCGCGCGGCATTCGAAAACGGGCGACGCGCGCAGGTCATCCTGGCTGGAGGGTCGAACTCGAAGCCCAGGAAACCTGCGCCCGAATTGGGGAGACGCCATCTTTGGAAACGCCAGCACTGGACACGCTAGCTGCCCAGGAGACGTCGGAAATGCGAGCCCTGGAAACGCCGCAGGTCTGGAAACGCCCACCCAGGAAACGCCGGGGGGGGCGAACGCGGCACGGGTTAGGGTTGAGCTCCGGAAACGCCGACTCTGGAAGCGTAAGGGCCGTACCTTGCAAACGCTAGCGCTGTGTGCTTTGCGAGCGCCAGCGTCGTCAAGGCGACGTCTGCGCCTTGTTCTCGTACTATTGTTTCGCCCTCCGAGGCCTTATTACTTCAGCGGCGTTCTTCCCTGGCGAGTGCACTCCAATCCTATGTCTTTAGGCCCCCGTGGGGTCCAGCCGCGGGGTTGCCAGTCGACAAGTCCGCGAGGAATATAGCTTCTCCGTCGGCGTCGCCACGGCCTCCAGGCATTGCTGCGTCAGCAACTTGTTCGCTTCCAGGCGTCGGAACGTTTTTATCACTTCCCTTCGCCGTATATAGGGATACGGTGTGACCCGCGTGTCCTAGAATGGAGAACGTCGGGTTGGCATGTGTTTTCCATCGGGCCGCATGCGTTCTCCAAATTAGGGCGGGGTTCGTAGTCGTCGTGGTCGTTGTCATGGTTGTTGTCGTCGTCGTCGTCGTCGTCGTCGTCGTCGTCGTCGTCGTCGTCGTCGTCGTCGTCGTCGTGGTCGTGGTCGTTGTCGTGGTCGTGGTCCTCCTCGTGTCCAATCGTCGTGGATGCGGCGCGCTGTCGAAATGTTTTTTCTTCGATCGGACGGCGTGCGCTCTCCGAATTAGGTCGGGGATCGTCGTCCTCGTGGTCGTGGTTGTCCCTGTGGTCGTCGTCATCGTGGTCGTTGTCGTCGTCGTAGTTGTCCTCGGGTCGTGAGCGGGTCCTGGACGGGTCCTGGCTGGGTCTTGGGCGGGTCCTGGGCGGCCGAGTCCTGCGGGCGGGTCCTGGGCGGATCCAGTGCGCGGCATTTGGCGGTCTTGGGCGGGTCCCGGGGGGGTTTGGGCGTGGCGGGCCCTGGGCGGCCCCTGAGCGGGTCCTCGGGATCGGGGCCTTGGGCGGGTCCTGGGCGTGCGGGCGGGCGGGTCCTGGGCAGGTTTCGGGCGGGTGCTTGGCGGGTCTCGGGCGGGCCTTGGGCGTGTCTTGGGAGCACTAAGGGTCGAACCGGCTGGATTGCGACGGGCGTCCTGGAGGGGCGTCTTGGGATGGCGCCGGAGGTCTCCCGAGGAAGGGGGGGGGGAGGGGGGCAGGCAGAGAGGGAGGGGAACGGAGTGTGGGAGGGAGGCGGGGGAGGAGGAGGGGCAGGAGGAGGTGCAGCAGCAGGAGGTGCAGCAGGAGGTGTCCGGATCTCCAGGGTGGTCGTCCTCGTCGTTGTCGCTGCCGCCGCCGTTGTTGCCGCTGCCTCGGTCGTGGTCGTGGTCGTGCTCGTTGTTGTCGTGGTCGTGGTCGTGGTCGTGGTCGTGGTCGTGGTCGTGGTCGTGGTCGTGGTCGTGGTCGTGGTCGTCGTCTTCGTCTTCGTCGTCGTCGTCGTTGCTGAATTCTTGTTATTTGGGCATGCATGCGTTCCCACGTGATGAGGAGAATGCAGTAGTGTTGTTTCGCCCGCTCAGGTGTTGTCCCATGACGAGTTGAGTGGAATAGTATTTATCGTCTTCAGGCATTGGGGAGATTCTCTTACCTCCACTCGCCGTGGTTGCAGCGGTTGCAGTACCGATCGTGTAAACGGTGGACCGGCGATGAGGCAGCATTTGTTCGCGACGCTTGCCCAAATGAGTGAGGGGATCAGTTGTGATGGACATTGAAGTCACTTTGGAGGATTTGTACATGTCACACACGGAAGGACGGACAGCGACACAACCACATCTTATTGATTGAACATGATTCCGGCGCCCTGGCGCCACCGCCTAGCCCCGCGTAGGAACGTCCCTTTTGAATGCTATAGGCGCAGCATCAGCCTCAGCCTCAGCGTCCACACTCCTTGGATACAGGGCGACACGCGCGCCCCAGAGTGTAGAACGTCAGCATTACACGTTTTTTCGGTTGGTTGGCGTGCGCTCTCCAAATTAGGGTGGGGGACACTGTCGTGGTCGTGGTCGTGGTCGTCGCTGTCGTCGCCACGCGCCATAGATACATCGGGACACGCGTGCCCTAGAATGGAGAGAGCGCAGCTTAGATGTTTGTTAGATGGGAGCGCACGCGTTTTCCAAATTAGGGCGGGGGTGTCGTCATCGAGGTTGTGGCTGTTCGTCGTGGACATCCTCGTCGTCGTGGTTGTGGTGGTGGTGGTGGTGGTGGTGGTGGTCGTCGTCGTCGTCGTCGTCGTCGTCGTCGTCGTCGTCGTCCTCGTCGCCGTCGCAGTCGCCGTCGCCGTCGCCGTCATCGTCGCCATCGCCGTCGCCGTCGCCGCTGCATGTGGCGAGTGCATGAATATATTGTGTGTTTCTATCTGGCCCCCCTTGCCAGGATGACGACGAGGAGAAGAAAGGGTGCGCGGTTCCAGGGTACAGACCTCGGTTTCTTGGTTTTCGCGGTTTCTATGTTATGGACCTCGCTTTCGTGGGTTGGCGCTTTCTTGGGTCCGCGCTTTCCAGGATACCGTCGCTGTCCTGGGTTGATTCCGCGTTTCCGAGTTTCAGTTTTCTGGTGCACCGACTTGCATTTCTGGTGCATCGACACCCGCCCCGCTGGAGGGTCGGGGTCGTCCCTGGGAGGGCGCCAGGAGCGGTTTCCTCAGCCCAGCGGTTGTGGCTGTCTCTCCTTCGTTCCTGAATGGGCCCCCCGTTTCGGTCCCCCTCCCCCTCGTCGTCTTCTACTTTGCCGTCCTCGTCGTCCTCTCGGCTCCTCCCGGTGCAGGGGTCGAGGGGTCTGGTGGGCCCGCGGGTCGGGAAGATCCAACCGTCGGAGGCCTGGCTTCGCCGTCTGCTGGCCAGCATGCGTGGGCGCTGGCGGCGGTGCTCGGCCGAACTCGGTCACCCTCGGGGCGCGGGGCTGCGCGTTTTCCTTGGGGGGCCGCGCTGGTCTTGGCCGGAATGCAACGTGGGGGAAATGAACAGGCGAATGTTGTCAGAGTGGTGCGACGGCTTTCACGGTCTGAGATTGCTTCCCTCCCGCTTCCCCTCCGACCCTGCCTCCCCGCGCTTCCTACGGCGTTGCTGTTCTCGGGCGCGTCCCTCCGCTGCTTGACCGACGTGTGATCCTTCACGTCCGCCGATCGATTGAAAAGGTGGCAGAGTGGCCCTGGCCCAAGATGGCCTCAGCTTCTCCACAGAGGTCCAGGTGGCTTCCCGAGAGCCCTTCACGAGGCCCAGGGGGCACCTTGGGTTCCAAGTTCAGAGTGGCGCGAAAACCTTGGGAAACCTCGTGTCACGACCAACCTTGGCAACTTCCGAAACGTGGAGTGAAGAGTTGTGCGCCTTTCCAGCGCCTGCTGGGGTCCGGGTTGCAGCTTAGGGGCCCCTCCAGGGCCACATTCCTGCACCCAAGTTGGCCCCAGGTTGATCGCTCCCTCTAAACTTTCGCCCGATTGCCTCGGCCATATCCGGTGCCCTGGAGGGGCCAGCACACCTGTGTGGTCACAGTCCGGGCAGGTGAGCAAGCGCTCCGCCCTCCTCTGGCTGATGCGGCACCTGGGCCTTGAGGGCGTGGACCAGCTCGGGGAACCTATGGGGGTGAACACCGTCTACTTCGGGGACGAGGCCGGCCCGGTGAGCCCGCGGAAATGTTCCGCCCAGGCTCGCCGTCAATTCCCAGGGATGGCAGCTTTTCACCTCGCCGCTGCCACCATCCCTTGCCAGAGCCGTTCTGGGCCCTGGGATGGTGCACAGCCGTTCCTGGTGGAGATCACGAGGCTTGGCGCAACATTCTGGGGCCCAGGAAAGCCCTGCCCAGCGATGGTGATGGTGGTGGCGGTGGTGTGTTGTATTCCCGAGCTGTGCACGCGCTCCAGCACTCACTTACAAGAGCGTCACGTTCTGAGCGTGCTCCTCCCGCTTCCCGTGCGCTCCTTCTCCCCCCGCCGCCCGTTGTGCCCATCCTGGGCCCAGGATCGGTGCAGATGTAGGGTCGGCGTTTCTGGGCGTTCTTATGCGGCGCGCGCAAGGGGGTAGGGGGAGGGGGAAGGCTTCTTAGAAGAAGGCTGCTTCTTAGAAACCGCGGGCCCTACATCTGTAGATGTAATGCCCGTGCCTTCTAAGAAGCAGCCTCCTTTTAAGAAGTCCCCCCCCCTCTTCCTCCCCCCTTGCGCGCCGCCAAGTAGGGATTGCGTTACCGGGCGTCCTTGGAGGCTGTCAGAGACCTCCGGGAGACTTCAAGGGATCACGCGCCTACGAGGCCTCCAGCGGCCTCCCGAAACCTCAAGCAGCTCCTGGCAGACCTTTGGGAGGAGGAGGAGGAGGGGGAATAGGAGGAGAAGGAGGAGAAGGAGGAGGAGGAGGAGGGGGAGGAGGAGGGAGGCGGGAGGCGGGAGGCAGGAGGAGGGAGGGAAAGAGTAGGGAGGAGGGAGGAGGGAGGAGGGATGAGGGAGGAGCGAGGAGGTAGGAGGGAGAAGGGAGGCGGGAGGAGGAAGAGGGATGAGGGAGGAGAGAGGAGGGGGGGGGGGGAAGAGGGGGGAGGGAGGAGGGAGGAGGGATGAGGGAGGAGGGAGGAGGGAGGAGGGAGGAGGGAAGAGGGAGGAGGGAGGAGGGAGGAGGAGGAGGAGGAAGAGGAGGACAAAGAGGATGATGATGATGATGATGATGATGATGATGATGATGATGCTGATGATGATGATGATTATGATGAGGATGAGGATGAGGATGAGGACGAGGAGGAGGACCAGTGGAAACCCAAAAGGCATCAACCATGTTGAAATTAACCCTCCTTCCGAGCTCCCTCTTCATTTGCCCCTGCAACTGTTCATGTCCACTGAAGGAACTGCCTCGTTGAAAGACAACAGTTTGAGTATCCAGAAGCGTGCCAAAACATTGTTCTCGGGATTTCAACGCCACGTACCTATACGACCACCCTGCGGGTGAGGGGGGAGGGGGAACCAACGTCTCACTCAATCGATCTCGCTATCGATCTCACAATCGATCTCACATTCGTCGATCTCACTATCGATATCACTATCGATCTCGCTATCGATCTCACTATCGATCTCACAATCGATCTCACAATCGATCTCACATTCGGTCTCACATTCGGTCTCACTGTCGATCTCACTATCGATCTCACAATCGATCTCACAATCGACGTCATCATCATCATCATCATCATCATCATCATCATCATCGTCATTATCATCATCATCATCATCATCATCATCATCAGCATCATCATTCATCATCAACATCATCATCATCGCCATCATCAACATATCGATCTCACTATCGATCTCACATTCGATCTCACTATCGATATCACTATCGATCTCGCTATCGATCTCACTATCGATCTCACAATCGATCTCGCAATCGATTTCACATTCGGTCTCACATTCGGTCTCACTGTCGATCTCACGATCGATCTCACAATCGATCTCACAATCGACGTCATCATCATCATCATCATCATCATCATCATCATCATCATCATCATCAACATCAACATCAACATCAACATCATCATCATCATCATCATCGCCATCATCAACCATTCGATCTCACAATCGATCTCACATTCGATCTCACTATCGATATCTCTATCGATCTCGCTATCGATCTCACTATCGATCTCACAATCGATCTCACAATCGATCTCACATTCGGTCTCACATTCGGTCTCACTGTCGATCTCACAATCGATCTCACAATCGATCTCACAATCGACGTCATCATCATTATCATCATCATCATCAACAACATCAACATCAACATCATCATCATCATCATCATCATCATCATCATCATCATCATCATCGTCATCGCCATCATCAACATCATCATCATCATCACCACATCATCATCATCACCATCATCATAATCATCGGGGACCATCATTATCGGGACACCGACGGGACACCGACGGGACACCGGCGGGACACCGCGGGCCCCCGGCCGCCCGGAAGGGAGTCATTTGGTCCGGCCGCGCCTCAGCCACACGGGACACCAGCGGGACACTGGCGGGACACCGCGGGCCCCCGGCCGCCCGGAAGGGAGTCATTTGGTCCGGCCGCGCCTCAGCCACAGGAGACTTTCTTTCGCCCGCCCACGCAGCTTCGCCTCGCCTGCACGCACGGCACGCACGAACACGAAACCGAAATCGATTTCCCGGTAGGGGGTCTCTCCGTTCCACTTCGATCTCACCCCCTCACCTCCGATAAACCTTGACTGCTGCGTCTTGACGATCCAGAATCGTGCCAGAAGATAACCGTTTGAAGATCCAGACGAATGCCAAAACATTATTCTCGGGACTCCAACGCCACGGATCAAACGAACTGTTGCGTCTTGACGATCTTGAATCGCGCCAGAACGCCATTCTTGGGACTTCAGCACCACGTAATCCTGAATCCTTCCAAAACGCAATTTCTGGTGCGTTGATCATGGGAATCCGGTAAATTCTTGCAAATTTCAAAAACGAAGGTGCGCGGCGCGGAGGCGAGAGCCACATTTTGAAAAGGAACCGCCCTCAATCCGTGAAGCTCCTGCGAATTTTTAGAACGAATGTGCGCGGCGCTAAGGCGAAAGCCACATTTTGAAAACCACCCGCCCTCATTCCGTGAAGCTCTTGCAAATTTGAAAAGCGAATGTGCGCGGCGCCAATGCTATAGCTACATTTTGAAAACCACCCGCCCTCAATCCGTGAAGCTCTTGCAACTTTTTTAAACGAATGTGCGCGTCGCTAAGGCGAGAGCCACATTTTGAAAACGACCTGCCGTGAAACTCTGGCACATGTTTAAAGATAATGTGCGCGGCGCTAAGGCGAGAGCCACATTTTGAAAACCACCCGCCAAAAGGGCCGTTTTGCTGTGGGGGAGGGTTCCAGATGGATTTTCACCCTGGAACGGGTCCAGGGTGAAGATCCATCTGGGACCTCCCGACGATGGGCGAGAGGGCCCAGCCGCGAGGAACAGAAACCCAATAAGAGATTTGATATGGAAAATTACAATTTTCGGGGCTCGGGTACACCTCCCCCCCATCCCGGACAGCGCCGTCTTGCATTGGGATAGGTCCCATATGGATTTTCACCCTGGAACGGTCCGGGGTGAAAATCAATTTGGGACCTCCCGACGCTGGGCGAGAGAGCCCAGCCGCGAGAAAAAAAAATCCCAATAAGATATTTCATTTGGAAAATGACAATTTTCGGGGCTCGGGTACAACGCCCCCCATCCCCGACAGCGCCGTTTTGCGCTGCGATGGGGTCCCAGATGGATTTTCACCCTGGAGCGGTTCTGGGGTGAAAATCCATCTGTGACCTCCCGCGACACAGGGCGGGGGAGGGCCCAGCTGCAAGAAAAAGGGTTCCAATGAGAGGGTCTCCCAAGAAAATTATAATTTTGGGGGCTCCGGTGCGAGAAAAAGGCTCCGCAAGAGAGATTTATTTGGAAACTAATTATTTTTGGGGCTCGGGTGCTCCCCCATCCTCGAGAGCGCCGTTTTGCGCTGGGAGAGGGTTCCAGATGGATTTTCACCCTGGAACGGTTCCGGGGTGAAAATCCATCTGGGACCTTCTGACGCTGGGCGAGAAAAATACTCCCCAATAAGAGATTTGATTTGGAAAATGACGAGTTTTGGGGTTCGGGTACACCTCCATCACCGAGAGGCGGCCCACAAAGCTCCTGAGAGCGCCCAGATTGAAAATCACCCATTTAAGGTTCCAATTTTCACCCCGGAACCGTTCCAGGGTGATTCTGGAACCTGAAACGGGTCGATGCCCGAGGGAGGAGGAGGAGGAGGAGGAGGAGGATGAGGATGAGGAGGAGGAGGAGAAGGCGGAGGCGGAGGCAGAGGCGGATGATGATGATGATGATGATGATGATGATGATGATGATGATGATGATGATGATGATGATGATGATGATGATGGTGATGATGATGATGATGATGATGGTGTTGGTGATGATGATGCTGATGGATGATGATGTGCTGCTGATGATGATGATGATGATGATGCTGCTGATGATGATGAGGATGATGATTATGATGATGATGATGATGATGATGATGATGATGATGATGATGATGATGATGATGATGATGATGATGATGATGATGATGATGATGATGATGATGATGATGATGATGATGATGATGATGATGATGATGATGATGATGATGATGATGATGATGATGGAGTGGGCTCGGTTTACAGCTGGGGCAGAGAGAGTCTCTTGAATGTAGGCCACCGGAGAAAGTGACCCATTTCAGCCTAAAGGGGTCGTTTTTCGCAGGTTCCCGCGGCACTTCATTTTCCGTAGGCTCTCTGGACTCAAGCATATGCAGCCCGGCCCCCAGATCGCGTTGCTTTCAGCTCTGTGCGCGCTCACAATCAACCTCTTCTGGATTGGTCTGCGATCGGCTCCTGTGCCTGAGCCGAGCCTCTCCGCCGAGGCGGCTGAGGCTGCTGCCGCGGCTTCGGGGGCCGCGGCCGCCGTTTCGGCGGAGCGGGCGGAGGCCGCCTCGGGGGCGGCAGGCGCCTCGTGCGAGGAGGCGGCAGCCCGCCTCGACTCGCTGGAGGCGCGCGTCCTGGAGCTCAGCCTGCTGCTCCAGTCCCGCGGCGGGGCGTCCGCGCCGCCGCCGCCGCCGGGCCCCGAGCCGCCGGCGAGCCCGTGGGCGGCGCTCTCGGCTGGGCTCGCGGCGCTGCTGGGCAGCTGGTTGCTGGACGAGGTGAAGACCGGTTCCCCCTGCTGCGCCGTACCTTTCCCGTGCCCTTGTCGTCGACGCGATGGCAGCAGCACTGGTGAACCTCGGCGGAGGCCGGGGGCGGTACTTCAGCCAGGACGCCCAGCCCGTCGTGGCGGTGGAGTGGTGCGGTAGGTTGACGCCAGGCCTGCACGTGGGCGTCCGTCCGACCCCGGCTCATGGCACGAGCGCGTCTTGCTGTGGCCCGCGTCGGGTGATACAGTCCCTCGGCACTGGTACGTGGTGACGCCCGACAACGACGTGTACGCGGAGGGCATGGCTTCTGGTTTGGGCTGGGGTTCTCGCTTCGCCATCTTGGACAACACGAGCGGGAACCCGGTCATCCCAGGCGGGCCGCTCTATGCGTTCCAGCTCCTCCCCACCGACGAGGACCTCAGGGGCATGATCGTGGAGGCCATGGAAGAGACCTCGGCCGCGGGCGTTGAGGTCTCTGCCCCGGCCAGCCTGATGTACCTCCAACGTGACGGGCAGGAGGTGCCGCTTGGCGACGTGGTACCCCTTCCGCCCGCGCCGCCTGCGGCCGCCTCCGAGGCGGCCGTCGATGCTGCCGATGCGGTCGGGGAGCTCGCTGGGGCTGCTCCTGGCCAGCGCGTGACGGGGAGCCACCCCGCCGGCGCGCCACGTGCCAGTGGCCGGCCGTGTTTGAATCAGCCTCGAGGCCGTGCCGGGCCAGATCGCGCGCGACAGCGAGGTGACGCTGCACGAGACCGCCCTGATCGACGACGATCGCGCCATCCACGTGCTGCCGAGTGGGAAGCGCATCGCGGTGAGGTTGACCGACCTTCCCGTGGAGCCGCTCCACGACGACACGGGCCTTGGGGACGCGAGGACTCTGGGGCCCCTTCGCTACGACTCACGCACGGCCAGCGGCACCTGGACTACCGCGCGGGCGTCCTGGAGCTTCGCGAGGAGGCCCTGGATGCGTTTCCGCTGAAGGGGGAGCGCCGGTTCTTGTGGCTGCAGCGCTGCATCGCTGAGCACGGCGCACGGCGAGACGCCCGACGGGAGGCGCACCAAGTACCTCACCGAGGAGGCGCTGCTGGCCGACAGCACCGCCGGCCATCTTCACGACCTCTTGGGCTTGTCGATGTTCTTGAGTGTGGTGTGTGACCAGGTGGACGGGTCCACCTTGGCGTGCATGGAGGTTGTGGCTCGATGCTACCAGCTAGTTGAGGAGACCAAGGGGTCCATGCGCACCGAGGGCTTGGAGTACTACATCGGCCGCGACCAGGGCGGCGCCATGCGGCGCGGCATTGCCGCGGCTCCTGCCCTGGCGCGCCACGCCACCGACCTGCTGGCCAAGGAAACGGAGATCGCCAAGCAGCGCCGCAAGTTCCGCGAGGAGCAGGCGGCCAAGCGCGGCGACGGCAGTAACGGCAACAACAAGAACACGGACAATAACAAGGACAAACACAAGGACAAGGACAAGGACGGTTCGCCACCGGGGTGAGCTTGGCGGGGGCACGCGTGGCGAGCGTGTGCCCGGTCCAGAGAGCCAGCGAATTCACCCTGCGGCTGCCCCTCGTGTCGGCGATGGCGCTTTCCCTATTAATTTCTCCTGCGACCCCGACTGGACTTTTTCTGGGCGCCGCGTTGGATCTTCTTCATGCGTTTTGAAGAGGGCCAGGGAGACGATCGAGGCACTCAACTTGATGGCCGGTTACCCGTCCGTCGAGCTCAGCACCGCGGACACATCCTCCTGGCACCAGGCTCTGCGCCAGCGTGTGGTGCGGCTCCACGCTGAACGCCGCCCGCCTTGCTCAGCGTCGTCTCGGACGGCTTGTGGGGAGCTGCTGGGGCAACCCTTCCTTGGATATGCTGGGGAGGTCACGCCGCTGCGATCCTATGCGCGACATCTGGTTTCATGGCCTGACGTTGGCAATCGACCCGGTTGGCTAGTCGACAGGTTGACCGCTCGGGACCAGTCTATTCTCTTGGGTCGTGACCACTCGCCCGTGCTGCTGCAGTCCGAGTTTGAGGAGGTGATCAAAGCCGAGCAGCGGCCTCTACTCTACATGGATCCCGTTCTGAATCACCATGCGAACGCATATCGCGAGTTCGCGCGCGATGGGTTGGCCCGACGGTGCTTCCGTGTGGGCCGACGCCGACGCGAGGGCGTGACTGTCTTCTTCCTCGCCAAGAAGGACGGCGGCTTGCGGCTCGCGTTCGACTGCCGCCGCTCGAGTCAGAGGTTCACCGGACTCACCCGGCCGCGCTGTTCAGCGGGGCCAGCTTCGGCGACTTCGAGGTGGACGCGGGCGAGTCAGCCTGGTTTGGCGGTCTGGGCGTCAAGGGCGCTTTCTACCAGCATCGCCTGCCCGCCTACTTCTGCGACTATTGCTGCCTGCCGCGGGTCCGCGCAGGCGCCGTGGGCGTGACGCATGTCCTGGGTCGACCCGTCGACCCGTGGGACTTCGTGTGCCCGCAGATGCCCGTGGTGCCGATGGGCTGGTCATGGGGGCTCTACATGGCGCAGCGCGCCCACGAGTACGCGCTGGATGTGCACCCCTCGTTTTCGTCCTGCTGGCGGGCTGTCGACTTCAAGCCGCCTCCGCCAGTCCGGGGCGGGCCAGCTCACTCCCCGTGCGTCGACAACGTGCTGCTGGTGGGCACCCGCGCCTCGGGCGCCACCGAGCGCAGGCGCGAGGCCTCCGCCGCCTTCGCCTCCCAGGGCCTTGCTGTGCACTGCGAGGCGGGCGCCGCCCAGGACATGGACTTGCTCGGCGTCAGGCTGACGGGCTCGCCGCCGCCGGTGCAGCTCACCGAGAGGCGGTTCTGGAGGCTATGCTACGGCGTCCAGTGCCTGGTCGACGTGAGGCGCCGAGCTACCGGCAGCGAGATCGAGCATCTCATCGGGCATTGTACCTTCTGCGCGCTGTTCCGGCGCGAGGCGCTTGCTAGTTTCTGCGCGGCGTGCGTTTTCATCCGTGCATGTTTTGTCGAGTGGGGGCCTCTCTGGGGCTCTGTGAGCCGCGAGCTGAAAATCTTCCAGGGTATTCCCATCCTCCTCTCGCGTCGTCTAGACGCCGAGTAGTCCCAAACAGTGATCGCCACCGACGCGTGCGAGACTGGTCGCGTGTCTGTCATCGCCGATATGCCGATCGACTTCGCCGAGCGAGCGGGGAGGTGGCAGGAGAGGTGGCGGTGCCGTCATATTCGCACTGACGATGGGGCTTGCCGACCACGGGGCAGGGCGAAGGGCGCGGAGGAGCTGGAGGGCGAGGGCGGGGACATGCGATCGATCGACGACATGCGTAACGCTGGCGACGTGGACCCGAGCTTCCCCGAGGTCTCCCCCCAGCACGTGAGGGCCGCCAAATGGGTTTTCCAGCGCCGCGGGGCCATGGGGGGCCCCGAGGCCATGCGCCGCAAAGAGGCTCGAGGAGTGGCCGAAGCGATCCGAGCTCACCTCTCCGATCCTCGACGTTGGGGTAAACGGGTCCTCCAGCTGGGCGACAACTTGGGGCTGGCGCTCGCCTCTTCCAAGGGCCGGGCTCGAGACGCTCGGCTTCTCAATATTACGCGTCGCTGGTCAGCTTTCCTACTTCTGACCGGCGCAGTCGTCCACCGCCGATGGCTTCCCTCTGAGCTGAATCCAGCTGATGAGCTCAGCCGCTGGCTCCGCGGGAGGGACCGCCCGCTGCCGATCGCGCTCTCCCCGCCGGGCCTCGACCAGCCTGCTGCGAGCCCGGGCGCCCGCGCCCCTGCGGGCCGTGGGCCCGGTGCCGTCGCTGCCGGCTGCCCCGCGGCGGGGGGGGTCTCGGCGCTCGGCGGGGCTGGGCACCAGCTGGGCGCCTGCGACGCCACTAGCGCCACCGCGGCCGGCGCGGCCGCCTCGTGGCCCGCGCCAGCTGGGCCTGCAGCCCGCCCGCAGCTCGGGCGCGCCGGGGGCGCCGCTGCTGACCGCGGTCGAGCGGGCGACGCAGCTGGAAGTGGCCGCCTTCGGCGCGCGCGCCGCCGGGGAGCCCGGGGCGGGGTCGCTCGACGTGAACGAGAGGCGGCGAACCTACGCGCGGCGGGCGAACCATGCGCCCCCGCGCGACACCGCGCAGCAGCTGGGCATCGCCGAGCAGGCGTCCGTGCAGCAGCGAACCTTCGCCAGCTACACTCGGTCACTCGCTGCCTTCATGATCTTCTGTGGCCCCACCTGCTTCATTATGCCGGCTCGCCTGCTCGACGCGCGCGTCGTGCATTCTTCGACCGCCTCTACCTGTGGGGCAAGGCGCCCTCCTCGGGCGAGAAGCTCATCGCGGCGCTCATGATGTTCCTCCCAGACTGCCATGTCCGAGGCTGGCGGCCGCTGCCGCGGGCGAGCCGCGCCCTGCGCGGCTGGAGGAGGCTGGCGCCCACGAAGACGCGCCAGCCCCTGCCCTGGGCGGTCTGCTGCGCCATGGCGATGCAGGTCATGGCCGAGGCGACGCCGGGCGGCCTCCCCTGCGGCCCCGAGGCAGCGCTGGCGTGGATCATGATGGTCGACACTTATCTGCGGCCAGGCGAGGCGCTAAGGCTCATGTCAGCGCAGATCTTGGGCCCGTGCGGCATCCTCGCGGAGGTAGTGGTGCACGTCAACTCCGGCTACATGCTGAGAGCTTCGAAGACGGGCGAGATGGACGAGACCGCGACGATTTCCCGGCGCTGGATCGGCACCTGCCTGATGGCCCTGGCCACTCGACTTCAGGGGCAGCCCCTGTGGCCGTTGAAGCTGTCGCAGATGAAAGACCTGTTCGACCGCGCCGCCGTGAAAGTCGGACTCGCCCCTCTCGCGCCCGTCCTGTACATGGCCCGGCGCTCGGGGGCCAGCGTCGACCGGCAGGGGGGCAGGTTGGCGCTCGACGAGGTCGGCAATAGGGGGCGCTGGCGGACGCTGAGCAGCGTTCGCCGATGCCAGAAGCGAGGGCTGCGCAGGCAGGAAGTGTGGAACAACCTCAGCGAGCGCCAGCGCCGGTATTGCGAGTCGGCCGTGGCCGCGTTGGCCGCCAGGCTCGTGGGGTACTTCTGCGGCAGCGCCGACGCAAGGAGGCAGGCCCGCTCTGGGATTACCAGCCGTTCTACATAGAGCTGCTCTCGGGGCCCGAGGTCTGGTGCAAAGGGATGCGCCGCCGCCGCTGCAAGGTCTACTCCTTTGACATCTTGCAGGGGCCTGGGGGCGACCTCCTCAGGCCGGCTGTGATGCGACGCGCCCCGAAGCTCGTCCGCTCGGGCCACTGCCTGGGCGCCCTGGCTGGGGTGCCGTGCGCGACCTTCTCGATGGCTCGTGGTGGTCACAACGCTATCCGATCTAAAGACTTTCCTGCTGGCCTTCCTGGGTTGCCGCCCCACTTGCAGTCCCAAGTTGAAGAAGGGAACAGGCTGTTCTACAACGCTGTCCGGATATTTGACCAGTGCAGACGATATCGTGCCCCATTCTTGCGGGAGGGCCCGCAGAGCAGCTACGCGTGGCACATGCCAGACGCGAAGCGCATCTTGGCCGCGCCGCGCGTTGCCGACGTTATCGCGCACTACTGCGGCTGGGGTACTGCTTGGGAAAAGCCGAGTCGATTCAGTGCATATCTCCTACCAGACCCTGACCGGCCCCACAAAAAGTGCACGGGGTGGGGCGGATGCTGCTCGTTCACAGGTGAACCTCGTCATGTGCTTCAGGGCCGCGACGCCAGCGGCGTCCACTGGACGAGGCGCGCCAACCCCTATCCTCCATCTCTCGTGAAGGAGCTCTGTGGCCTTTTTCGGGATGCCGGCTTTGCTTTGACATCGTCATATGTCTAGAAGAGCCCGCTACATTCGGTAACGTGTTGTGCTTGGACAGGTCCTCTAAATTCGGAAGTCAGTCTCGATGCTCGTGTGTCTCACAGTTTGAGCATCTCGTACGCCGGTCAAATGACACCCTGCGTGTGCGGTTCATCGTTGGTTGTTCAGTAAACAGAATCTCGGAGTAGAAGCAGCTAGTAGAGCGGGCTCGGCTTGCAGCTGGGGCAGAGAGAGTCTCTTGAATGTAGGCCGCCGGAGAAAGTGACCCATTTCAGCCTAAAGGGGTAGTTTGTCGCACGCCGGAGAATGTGACCCATTTCAGGCTAAATTTGGTCGTTTTTCGCAGGTTCCCGCGGCACCTCATTTTCCGTAGGCTCTCTGGGCTCCTCCACCTCCCCTCCTTCCCTTCTCTGCGGGCTCAGCGATCTGTGCACTGGAAGTCAGTCTCGATGCTTGTGTGTCTCACAGTTTCGAACATCTCGTGCAGCGGTCAAATGACACCCTGCGTGTGCGGTTCATCGTTGGTTGTTCAGTAAACAGAATCTTGGAGTAGAAGCAGCTGGTGATGATGATGCTGCTGATGATGATGCTGATGATGATGATGATGATGAGGAGGAGGAGGAGGAGGAGGAGGAGGAGGAGGAGGAGGAGGGAGGAGGAGGACGAGGAGGAGGAGGAGGAGGAAAAGGGGGAGGAGGAGAGGAGGAGGAAGTGAAGGGGGGGGAGGGGGGGGAGGATGAGGAGGAGGGAGGAGGGAGGAGAAGGAGGCGGAGGAGGAGGCGGAAACGGAGGCGGATGCGGATGATGATGTTGATGATGATGATGATGCGGAGGAGGAGGGGGGCGAGTGTAAACCCAAGAGTCGTCACCGATGTTACAGTAAACCCTCCGTCCGACCTTCCTTTCCGTAGGTCCCTACAACGGTTCATTTCCACAGAAGGAACTGCCTCGTTGGAAAACAACCGTATGAAGACCCGGAATGATGCCAAAGCGTTGTTCTCGGGACTCCAGCGCCACGGATCCAACTGACTGTTGCGTTTTGGCGATGTTGAATCGCGCCAGAACGCCACTCCTGGGACTTCAGCACCACGAGTCAACATAACTGTGGCGCTCTCACAACCCTGAATCTCTCCAGAACGCCATGTCGGGTACGGTGATCACGGGAACGCGTGGACGTGTTCCAAATGTTTGCAACGAATGTGCGCGGCGCTGAGGCAAGAACCACATTTTGAATTAGAACCGCCATCACTTTGTGAAGATCTTGCAAATTTGGACAACGAATTTGCGCGGCGCTAAGGCGAAACCGCATTTTGAGAACCACCTGCCCTCATTCCGTGAAACTTTTTGCAAGTTTTGAAGGCGAGTGTACGCGGCGCCAAGGCGAGAGCCACATTTTGAAAACCACCCGCTTTCAATCCGTGAAATTCGTGCAAATTTTGAAAACGAATGTGCGTGGCGCTAAGGCGAGAATCACATTTTGAAAACCACCCGCCCGCAATCAGTGAAATTGCTGTCGCTTCAGACGGATGGGCGCGGCGTTAGGGCGAGGGCCACATTTTGAACAAGCCTGCCCTCAATCCGTGAAGCATTTGGATTTCTATAACGAGTGTGCACGGCGCTAATGCGAGAGCCGCATTTTGAACAGGACCCGTCCCCAATCCGTGAAACGGTTTCCATTTTTAAAGCTTCAGGATCATACGCGGCGAGGAAGTCTCAGGCGAGACGCCTGGCCCGTGCATAAGGAAAATGAATGGGGGAGGAGGAAGCGGAGGAGGAGAAGGAGGCGGAGGAGGAGAAGGATGAGGAAGAGGAAGCATACTACTAAAAATGAAAGTCTACAAATCACATCCGTAAAAATATTACTAGGAATATGACTTTCAATAGCGATATCAACACGATGAATCAGAAACATAATAATAGTACTTTGAATAATACAAGTAATACTATTAATACGAATACTAAGGCTGTTCAATACATCAATAAGAAAGATAGCAATCTTAATATGGATCAGACGAGGGATGCTTCTATCACGAAGAACATGCAGACTACTACTATACTGAGAAGAATAAGAGTACGAATGCGAAGGGTACTAAGGAGAGGGAGGAGGGGGAGGAAGAGGAGGAGGAGGAACATGTGGAGGAGGAGGAGGAAGGGGAGGAGGAGGAGGAGGAGGAACAGGAAAAGGAAGAGGAGGCGGCGGAGGAGAAGGATGAGGAGGGAGAAGGAGGATGATGAGGAGGAGGATGAGGAGAAGGAGGAGGAGGAACACGAAGAGGAGGCCGAGGAGGAGGAGGAGGAGAACGACGAAAAAGAAAAAGCGGATGATGATGAGTATGATGAAGAAGAGGAGGAGGATGAAGATGAGGAGGAGGAGGCAGATGATGATGATGATGATGATGATGATGATGATGATGATGATGATGATGATGATGAGGATGCTGATTATGCTGATGATGTTGATGATGATGGTGGTGATGATGCTGATGATGACAATGCTGATGCTGCATATGATGATGCTGTTGCTGATGATGATGCTGATGAGGCTGCTGCTGATGATGATGCTGATGCTAATGATGATGATGATGACGATGATGATGATGATGATGCTGAGGATGATGATGATGATGATGATGATGATGATGGTGCGGATGATGATGATGATGATGATGATGATGATGATGATGATGATGATGCTGATGCTGATCATGACGATGATCATGATGATGATGATGATGATGATGATGATGATGATGATGACCATGATGATGATGCTGATGGTGATGATGATGGTGATGATGATGCTGATGCTGATGCTGATGCTGATTATTATGATGATGATGATGATGATGATGATGATGATGATGATGATGATGATGATGATGATGATGATGATGATGATGATGCTGATGATGCTGATGATGATGAAGGAGGGGGGATGAGGAGGAGGACGAGGAGGATGATCAGGAAGAGGGGGGGGGAGGAGGAGGGGGAATGAGGAGGAGACGGAGGAGGAGTTGCCTGCCTTGGGCCGTCTATGGTTTGTCCCTGCTTGTTGCCAGTCATTCGCTGATGAGTCAAGATGGACATAAGGTCTCGTGTGATAGTTGTCAAATCGCCCCCTAGGTGGTCATGCACGGCAACGACCTCCCAGTTGCAGAGATCCCTGGTATACAGGTCTTCGCCGTCAACGATATGGTTTCCAAAGTACCTTTTCGCACTAATATAGAATTACCAACCGCTTTTTCTAATTTCACTGGCCCCGAGGGCACTCAGGCAGTGCTCGAACATATAGTCAAGGACTCAGCGCGCATGAGGTCGTTGTGCCAGGAGATCCCAATCAGAAGATCGGTGCTCCTTTCTTACGTTCCTACCCGACCGCGCAAGGCGATCGTGCCCCGTCCGATTCTAGAGCGTGCGCGTTGTGAAACGTGAGCGCGTATGGTCGCTGATGGCACTGGAATCTATTGCTGGGCTGCCGCGGCTCGCCGCATGCTAAGGCTGACTATGCCGAGGGCTGCTTTGAGACTGGTGAAGCGGAGCCATGGCCTGGGGAATCGGCCATCCTGTGTTGGAAGAAGAGTCGCCTGCAAAGCCGCTTGCAGCAGAGGTGCCAGATGCTATCGAGCAGCTCCAAGGACCAGGGGGACATGGAGGCTTATCGGTGTTGCCCCTCGGAGTCCTAGCCCGACGCGTAGAGATTTGGTCCACGGTACCCCGCCCCATCTCCATTTTGCCCTTGCGTCGTCAAACCTATGCGCATGCATTCTTCTGTATGCGCATGGCTTCCTCTGCGCTTTCTCTGCTCTTGCGATGGCGGCCTGTGGCTATTCCAATGGCGTTCCAACAAGCGTCCAATTCTCGTCAACATTATCCGCATGGCTTCCCCTCTGTATCCGCATAGCTTCCTCTGTTATCCGCATGGCTTCCCCTGTGCCTGCATGATTGCCTCTGCTTTTCCAATGGCCCTCTGTGGCTATTTCAGTGGCGTTCCAGCAATCATCGATCAATCGTCAAGCTCAGAAGTATAGTAGAGTAGAGCAGCGCAGAATCGAGTATATACGAGTATATGAGTGGAGTAGGCCATAGTAGACTAGAGCAAACCCCGATCGAGCAGAGGGAGTATATGATAGTAGAGTAGAACAGTAGAGTAGGCATCGCGTACGTTAGAGCAGAGCAGGTTCGGGTATGTTGGCGTAGGGTCAAGTCGGGCAAATAGGGTATATTATACTACAATCGGGTAACTTGTAGAGTAGAGCCAGGTAGAGAGTAGAGCAGACCAGAGTAGAGTAGAGCGGAGAGATCAGAGCAGAGCAGATGCGAGTATTTCATAGTAGGGCACATTCGAGCATGGTCGAGAAGGTTCGGGTACGGTAGGGTAGGGTAGAGTAGAGTAGTTTAGGGTAGTGTAGTGCAGAGTAGAGTTGAGTAGAACAGAGCAGAGTAGAGTAGAGTAGTGTCCACCCCAGTCCAGGCCAGTCTACTCCAGTCCAGTCTACCTCAGCCCACTCCAGTCCACTTCATTCCGGTCTTCCGATCTATCTGGGGTTTGCGCTGGCTGATGCCGATGTGTCTACCGCAGATGCCCTGCAGTCGTTCCTGCCCACCCCGAACACAGAGATCAGCAGTGACGCAAGCGGCGCGAGCAGCAACAAGGAGGCACAGAGCAACAGCGTGTGGGCAAGAGCGAGGACAAGGGGCGGCGGCGCGTGGGAGCAGAGAGGCGGCCGAAGGGCAGCGCGGGAGACAGCAGCGAGAGGGGCAACGTCGGCCAACTCTGTGGGCAGGTTGGCCCAAAGCGGCACCAAGAGGGTCCCCAAGTTGGCCAAAGGGTGGGGGGATCGAAGGGGATCCCAGTTGGCCCGAGAAGACCCCAAGATGGCGCAATGTCGTTCCAAGATGTCCCCCCCCCCCAAATGACTTCCCTGGGTCCCTCCCCGCCCCAGGTCCGCCCCTGACCATCGTCTCTTGCGTTGTCTTGGGTGTGCCTCTCCGGGGGTTAGTTGAGCCATCTTGAGGCCTCCTTTGAGCCGTTTCTGGCTTCCGAGGATTCCCTCGGGTCTTGTTGTAGCTTCCGGAATCCGTGTTGAAGTCATATTCGGCGGAGCAGCATGGGAAGATAACACTTCTGAACACCCACATGTTTTGACACTTGTTTGCAGTCAGGGCCCCTCTTGGGCCCTCCTCGGGGTATCTCGTGGGACCTCTTGTGCGAACCTTTTGGTGCCCTTTGCGCTGTTTTGGAGGTCTCTTGGGCCATCTCGGCGGCCCCGTAGCGTCCGTCCTCCTGGGCCGCTTCTCGGACCTCCTGTGGCGCTTTCTGGGCGGGGATGCCGGGATGAGATCGCAGGGGGCAGGCTCCCTTTATGTTCGATTACAGCATGACTCGATGTATGATGGGGTTCCCAAGGTGGCCACTGGGCGGGATGGAAGAGCCGTTCATAGAACAGCCTTTTGCGCACGCCGACGAGGCCAGGTGATTTCCCATTGTGTCTGCGTGCCTGAACTTTTTTGTTGCTGATTCTCTCTACTACGCGTGCCTATGTGTGCGTGTGTGTGTGTGTGTGTGCGTGTGTGTGGATCACCTGTCGGTGGTTCTTGGTTTTAATGTGTGCCATGCTGCCCGCGCTTTAGTTCTCTTTGAGTCGAGAGCGCTCTGCGTACTACAACGTTGCAGCATCGCTCTGTTCGTGCCGTCCATGCAGACATGCGATCTGCTCTTGCGGTATGATGTGCGACAGGGGGAAGGCAGCATGCACATCCCCAGGCCGACTGCTTTTCCTTTTGGAGTAAATTATGCCAACACCAGTGGATCCAATTTGATCCATTTCAAGGTGTGTAACAATTTCGTGGACCCTATTTCTGTGTTGCGCGGATCAGAGTCCCCGCGTGTACGAAAAACCCATGGTTCCACGTGCCGTCCTGGAATAGTTCTAGGCGAACGCTAGTAACATTTCATCTCTGGGACCAATAGGAAATTAGGCAATTAGATCCACGGGGCACTGCACGTGAGACATCGCGCTATTCACGGGGCTGCGGCTGTGCAGACCATTGCTATGATTGTACGGGGGAAGGGTTTCCTAGGGTGAAGAGAGCGGGGGGGGGAGGCGGCAAGGGGGGGGAGAGGAGGAGAGATGGGGACGGAGGTGGGAGGGGACTATAGAGGACAATTGAGGTAGGAGGGGAAGGGGGGGGGAGGAGGCAAGAGGAGGGGGGGGAGGGCAAGGAGGAGGAGGAGGAGGAGGAGGAGGAGGAGGAGGAGGAGGAGGAGGAGGAGGAGGAGAGAGGAGGGAGGGGGAGGGAGGAGGCAGAAGGAGGGAAAAGGCGGGAAGAGGGAGGGGGAGGAGGACGAGTAGGAAGAGGAATCAGAGGAGGAGGAGCAGGGAGGACGAGGAGGAAAACAATCAAAATGTTAAGGCCGGAAGGTCGAACGCCACAGCGGGCCCAGCCACCTCCCTTAACTCCTCCCATGACATGTGGGTGCTCGAGCGCCACAGCGGGCCCGGCCATCACACGAGCTCCTTCCATAACATGCGGTTGCTCGAACGTTACCTCCCACATCTCCTCCCATAACATGTGGCACGACCCAAGTCGAAGCGACGCAACGTACATCCGTTCACTTGAACGGCATGGCGCTTCCGACATATCGGGCTCAAGAGGAACACTTTTCGGCCAGCGTAAGTAGGCGTACAATGATGCATTCGTGCTGCTGCGCGCGAGGGTCAGCCGCCGCCATGTAGGTCGGACCGCAGACTGGAAGAGTGCCCGGTTCGTCGGGAGACCAAGTGTGAAGATGCAGGGTCCCAGACGCAGCCATGCTCCATCTTATGAGGAGTTTCGCATTCGCTCTTTGCGTGGTTAGGCGACGACGTTCGCATAATACAGGAGCATCGGTTGCTGCTCACCCGCCGGCGAGCTCGACAGCGCAGAGCAATGCAGTGCGACATGGAATGGCAGTATCATGGAATTGTATCACGACGCTGAAGTCCCAGAAGCGCTCCTCACCGTCGACGCCGCGGAGAAGCGGGCAAAGGCCAACAGCGCTGCCATTCCGCTTCCAGGCTGGGCAGAACATGTGCTAGATGCCGAACGAGAGGGGGGCGTGCTGGACCGTTTCAAAAATAATTCGTTGCTGGATACATGGGGCCTCGGTTTCAGAGAGTTCTCATCCCGGGCAGTGCTTCGCACGCATCAGAGTGCGATGAATGGCGGGGGGCGCTGTCTCGGGTCAGCGGCAACAGCGGTTACCATTACCCAGCAATGTCCTCTTTTTCGTGCCATTTCCAAGGGCCGACCGCAGGCCGGAAACCGTCTACTACGTTCTTTAGAACATGGGCGCTGTGTCGCAGAGAAATTTCGGATCGGCTATCCCCCCACTGCAAGTGTACGACGTCCGACGCCAGCTATCCTTCAATCTGCAGCATCTTTCAGTGCTGCAAGACCATTTGCGTCTCGAGCATTTTCCCAGCTCTGCTCATTCCGCCAGCCTCGACATCGGCTTCAGTGCCGAGGACAGCCCACGCGAAGCAGCGCGACGATGACGTGGCTCGTGCCAGGGGGGAAAGGGTCGACGGCGTGGCCAGCAGCCCGGCCGACAGCGAGCGCACTTGGAGTTCCGGGCCGACTAGGGGCGGCATGGGCGACGAGGGCAAGGGCGTCGAGGCAGGCGGGTCACAGATGGATGTGGACGCGGCGGCAGAGGCAGCCGAGGGAGGGGCAGAGGCCGTGGCGGGGCCAGCCCGAGCAGCAGCAGCAACGCCATCCATTCGCAAGCAAGGTTCAGGGGGGTATCATATCAAGACCGACGTCAAGCTGAACCAGCTCCTCGCAGTGCTCTCCAGGCAAGTCTTTTTCCGCCGCGCAGCAACTAGCCATGGTCATGCCGGCAGTCTACAGCGTCTACCACAACTGGTGGGAGGCACGGTGATCAAAGCGCTCAGATCTTGCAGGAGCGTCTGCGCTGCGCGTGAAGTCCGCTCACTTCCCTATGGCATCCCTTCCGCAGCTGTCTTGGCTCAGGTATTGGCATTCTGACCAGTGTGCACTGTGCGCTGCGCAGTGCCTTGGAAAGGGAGTTCCACTTCTCGCCTCTACCTACGGACCCCGTGCAGGAGCGGCCCCAGCGGCCGTCTCCCTGTACTCACAGGTTACAGCCTTTTCTTAACCGCTCTTTGCAGTTGCAATTCGCGTCATCCTGGATTCCGCCGCTTGGCGTCGCGACTTCGTTGTGCTGCCCGCGTGCGTGCGATCTCCTCGAAGGCGCATGATAGCGACGGCGTCGTGGTGGAGGCGCGAGAAACTGCGATGCCCATTCCCCCCCTCTCAGGTGACGGCAGTGCTGCGTCTTTCGCGGCGGCTCTCGCGGAACTCTTGCCTGATTCTCCGATGCTTCCGACGCCCCGCGAGCTCGCGCGCCTCGACCCTCGCGGCAGCGGCTGGATTCGCCCCCCGCGGAGCCAGATGCACCCCGCCCGTCGGTGGCCACGCCCGCAGTTGTCGCGTCTGTCGTCGAAGCCGACAGTGGCTTCACTGCGCCTACTGCCTCCCCGCCCACTTTCGCTGACGCCGGCGTCGGTGGCCACGCCCGCGGCGGCCGCCGCGCCGCGAACGTGCCCCCTGACACTGCTCTCGCTCGTGG